TCACAGTCAGCATGTGTGTACAAACTTATAGGTGTTTCGGCAGCTTCGTCTCTGCGTATTGTTTCAAGGAATACGTTGGAAGAACACTTTCAGCCAACTCTCAGAGACTGTCAATGTCCAGCTCTTACTACACTGGACCTCACGCTGTCCCAGGAAAACTTTCAGAAACAATTTGTAATAACCAACGCAAAAAAACAGTACACAGATTGGCGACTCGAGAATCCTTTATTATTACGCCAATATGTAACCGACAATAAGGTTATTACACACAAGGTCTAAGAATAAATGTCATAACAATAAATCACGATAATACTTCTGATATTTTTTGGTCTTCCACCGAACAGTGAACGATGAGACAATGATTACTGGATTGATGAATCCCGCGAAAAATATGGAGGAGTTGGTTTTGAGCAGACAACCATGAATCGATCGTTCAATCTTCCCCAACATTTACAATCACGATGATATTTTATGGTCATTACGTGAAAACTCATGTGTCACATGTACTTTAGTTGGTATTATGTTGTTTGTGAAAATAATACATAGGATACTTGCGGATCAAGTGATTGAATCTGTGTGTTGTGGCTACTCTCCTGTGACGATGGAATTCAGGAGATTATCATACGTTTCTGTGTCCTCGAAGTGAAGTCCATGATATTTTTTGGCATGTTGAAACCACTTCAAATGATTTAATGGCTGAAGTGAAGATTGACTGTGACATTAAAAATATTATCATATTCCCGGATTGGTACACAAAACCCGCAAGTAAAGGTTTACTTCTGACAACTTTTGTTTCGAACCAGATCGAGTCATTGAGTTATTAGAGAATTGGTTGCTGAACTGGGTTGCACACGTGGATCGGTGTTCCACTCCCACGGCCCGTCTGTGACCTATAAAACGGTTGGTGTTATTAATTCCAAGGCCGTCAATGGAGATTTCACTCGTGCACCAAGCTTTGGGAATCATAATCAGTGATGGTCTGCATATAGAAGCTAGTGTGCTTAGTGTTATGTATTTGATCACAACTTGTTTAGCATTTACGATGACGATAGATGAACACCGGCTACGTGTTTTTAGTGAGCGGTCAAAATCTTGATTAAATATTCCATGAGTATCCTCTGTGTACATATTTTTCGACTCACTAACATTATATTTGGATCATAAGCAGACTTCAGGCAGGTTTGTGGGGTGGTAGCAAGGGATGGTCTGTCGTTTGGATAGGGTATGCAGTGAGCAACACCTGTGTAATAATCAGACATTATTTTAGAGATATTAGTATCAGCGTTTGATGCCAACAATGTGTCAGCTATCTCCCCGAAAATATGCCTTGCCCTAGCTGTAGACTGTTCGATATTCCAGCAAGGAATTGATTCGGTATCATGTGTTCAATGTGCATGATGCCAGGTGTATCTGTTTACTTTCACCGGTGAAAATCCTGCCTGAAGCGGCTAGTAGGGGCACTGTTGTTGTAAAATGTATAATCGAGATGAGCATTGGGTAATTTGTTCCCAGTATAGGAATGAAGTTGTGGTATCTGTTTAGGGTTAGCTATTAGACTATAGCCAGTTTTGAGCAGACATCAGCACCTGCTCCCCACCAAATACATAATATGTTTGAATGGGTTCTGTTGGCTTATTTGGCTTACCGAATGCAGTCAGTAGCCGATGTTTAGGGGACTTTTCATGACCTTCAGTTGATAGAACATTCAAAGGGACTAGCTAACAACGAGTTTGGCTAGTGGATGAGCAGAATGACACCAGCTACCTTGCTGTGTTGTTTGTTTAAAATTAGTGGTTGGATATAATTGGCTTCCCACTTGACAACAGTTAGGCCTTCTTGTAGGAGCCTGTGTAACAACAGAAGACAAGGGCCAGATAACAGGTCGTTTATTAGGGAATAATAAATAAATAATTTTTCCTTCACGTTCCCAGTGGAACATGGGGCTTCAAGCCTCCAGCTTGAAGTTTCTGTAGCAGTGTTTATTTTTATAGGATAGGGTTGCTAGCCTCATGCCCAGCCTTTCCCGTTTACCAGCATTATTTCTGATTTAGCGAGGTAAAGGAGTGCGTCGTCCGGTAATCGAACGCCGGACCGTGCGCATGGTCGGCGAGCGTCCTAACCGCTATGCCACCAACACACCGTTTATTAAGGAAATGAACACATATTTATATATTTTCATGTAAAAATAATAGACTATTGTTGGGAGAAAAACAGTCTTCTGATTGGTTGTTTCTCACAGAAAGTTAACCTTGCATCTCTTTGTGGCTGTTTCTTGAATGTCAGATTATCTATATGCTAACTGTATCCGCCTACACAAAGCCTTTGTTCTCATTTTTCTCATGACCAATATTGTGGACATCAGCACTGACATAAATTACTGTCCACCAGTTTTCACTAACAGCCAGCTTTCACCACGCATGGTCCATCATATTGGGGTTTCTCCTAGAAGAATGACTTAGAGGTGTCTTCGTCTCTGTCATATTCAAGGGCTTTCTTGCTCTGGGCTCAGTATTTAATTTATTTACTTCGGTTTCGCCTTTCTTATGATCAACTGGTTGACGATGATAAACAGGGCAGCCAGCACATGTTATGTGAGGTTTTTATTGCTTGCGCTTTAGTTTACTTAATGAAAATAGGACGTTTTTCATAACGCCTCGAGAACTTGCAAACTTGGGTAGCTTCATTTGACTGGTACTCAGAAACGCTTAGTAAAAACGGACGAAAAAACCTAAACACCGATTGGCCACTCGAGGATTCTTTATTGTTACACCAACATATAAATGACGTATGACTAAGGTCTGTGAACAAACATTACAATAATAAATCACAATATTACTTCTGACGGTTTTGTCCTGACTTCTTTCTGAACAGCGACCGATGAGACGATGACTGTCGTATTGATGCCTCCGCGAAAATTGGGGAAGTTGATTTTGAGCAAACAACCATGAATTGATCGTTCAATCTTCAACTGCATTGACACTCCCCGGAAAAATACGGATCCATCAATTTTTTCCATCACGACCAATACACGTTGACTTGGATGCCATTGCGAGAACCTGGGTCACACGGACAGAGCTGAAATGGAAAACAAACGCAAAAGCCAACACACCACAAGCATACCCACAGCACAATCTCACACATCAATGACGACCTCCGCCTTCCAGTTAAAGGCATCCTCTTGCAACACAATCGCCACTTGCTAGAATGACTCTTGCAGAATGCAACGTTGCCATAGTACCACCTCACGATACTCTACGCTCATCCTCTTATCTACTCACTACCAATTACCACTGCAATCGCTTGTCACTCATCCTGCCTCAGTTCTAGTAACGGTGACGCATGCGAGCCTCAGTCGTTTACACTCTTTCTCCCCGGCGTGTCGGACCGCACCTAACAATTATCTCCGTATGCATTTCATTCTCAGCAATAGCCTCCCCGGCGTATACGACCCATCTGCTGTCTCTAACATCAATCATTTCATTCATGGATGTAGAAGACTCGAAACAACTTCAGAAGTAATCACCACAAAATTTTAACAAAATTACGCAATAACAACAAAGTACGAAAACAACGAGTAAACACAATTAATCCAAAAACACCAATTGATATGTCACACCACACATATATACAAACAGTACACACAAACTCGCGGATCATGTCTTGATGGAATTCCTTTGAAGAATCGCAGGACTTACACCAGTACGCCTACAACCCTTCACAGGTTGATGATTGTAAGTTGTGGAATGTCCGGCCACAATCAAGTCTAACCAACAATTACAATAATTGGAACTCACACAATTATTTAACACAAACATATGTACAGTCAACACATCAAATGTTGTGGATTCTGGCATGACAAACTACCCTTGAAGAACTGTAGGACTTACGGCAGTACGCCTACATCCCTTCTCAGGTTGACGCTCTAGGTTGGAAAATCGTCTAGTGTTTCATCCTCCGACTCTCTACTCTCAGCATCTTCCAGTAGACACAGTTTTCTAATATCTCGCACCAACATGCCACAACTTGTTCTCACCTCAACCATCCTCACCAATCCATCACCACTACAGAGTAGCCTTACTACCACTCCTAAATGCCATCTACCTGTGGCACATTTATCTGCTACTAATACTATGTCACCAACCTTTAAGTTTCGGCACAACTTTTTCCACTTGTCTCTGGTTTGCAGTGTTAGAACATACTCCTTTAACCATCTTTTCCAAAATATATCTTTCATGTGCCTGGCTTGTTTCCATCTTTAAATCGTAGGTATTCCCTCCCCGCTTGCGTCCTCTATGCCAAGGTTTCCTCTCAATAACAATAATTTATTTGGGGTTAACACATCGAAATCCTTGACGTCGTCCCTCACAGGTGATGACGGCCGATCATTTAATATTCGTTCAGCTTCACAAAAAAATGTCTCCAGCGTTTCGTCATTCAAACTCTGGTTTTTAATTATGGAGCTTAAAATACGCTTGATAATTCCTATAAGTCTTTCCCATAGCCCACCTCTATGGCTGGCATGTGGTGGGTTGAAGTGCCACTCGATGTTTCTTTTCAGTAACTCCCCATGAACTGTCCTTTGGGGACCTTCGAAGTACTCTTTAAGCTCGGCGTGACAGCCAACAAAATTAGTCCCTCTGTCGCTGAACATCATCTTCGGTACACCCCGGCGATTTATAAATCTATGTAATGCTAGCACGAATAATAATAATAATGTATATTCTCATATAAACATATAAATTTACATGAAAATGCATGCCATTTTTACAAGCACGATCAAGTATGATATAATATCGAATCGTAGATTGTCTACAAGTTAATAATGTTTCAACAGTTAAATATTTGATATATATATAAATACACATTGTCAGAACCAGGCTGTATAGTTATTGAATTGTACAATTGTCCTCCAGGTTGAGCGGGAAAATGGACTTCGTTTCGTTTTCATCCCGTGGTTGTCGGCATACGATAACCAACCAAAATTGAGGTAAGTACAACGTTTACAACGGATTGAAAGCTGTTTTAGAAAAGTAAAAGTGCTGAGGTGAATCATTAAATTGTAATGGAATAGCTAAGTGCAAGTATCATTAATAAATGCATTAAAAAAAAGAAAACTCCCTAGGCTGACAACGTTCATTTGCAATGTATAATGCTACACGTATACCTCGTACTATCATGATGTCCACTTTTGGTTTTAATACATTTATCCTCAGTTGTGCCAGTTGTTTTTGTTTTATACCTTTTTGTGCATTTAGTGTACAACCGTACCCTTCAGAGAGTAGGAATATAATAAGTCATAAAGAGCTGTAAAATGTTAGGTTTAATGGAGTAAAATGAGGATCAAGTAAAGACGTTATTGGAAAATGAATGAGATAAGACATTGTGAAGTGGTATTTAAAGATCAGACAATGGACAGCAAGTTAGTTTATAAGATGCCCCATAAATCTGTGCAGATCCCGCGTGGTCGCGTCTCAACAACAGGCTGAGCGAATGGTATATTTAAAGGTAGAAGCATGATCTGTCAAGGCGTTCATTATTATCTTTTTCAAGATAAAGATCTAAGCCCTCATAAAAATCAGAAATATCTCGAGCCTTTAATTTGTATATTTCTGTTCCTGCAGAATGGGGCGATTCACCTTAGTGACCACCACCACATCTACTGATCAGCTAGCGAAACAGTAGTTAGCGAATGAACCATCTCAATATGCACAGCTCTCATTTTCAAACAGGTGAATAAACAGCCATATCTTTTACATAGGGTTCTGCCTCTCTTCACTACAAAAGGTCCGAACAAATCCACCCCAACGTACTCAAATGGATAATTCCCTTCAGAAGCTTGCCACGCTGGGAGTGGTGCCATCATCTGCTGTACTGGACGAGCATTTCGGAGTTTACATTCCATGCACTTATCAATTATTTTACGGACAGCAGTACCTCCCTTCACTATCCAGAACTTACATCGAATACTTGATAGTACTTGCGAAGTACCCAAATGACCTTCAAGAACATGGTAGTGTCTTATAATGAGATCAGTGACTGGATGGTAGCAAGGTAATAAAGCCGGATGACGGGTCTCATATGACGATTCTAACATTTGTAGACGTCCACCAACTCTAGCGATCCCTTCGGAAACTATCGGAGATAATCTATCTAACCGCACCTTGAAATCTGCGAAATCGGGACTATCCTCCTTGGCAATCTCACCCCACGCTTCCCACTGAGCAGCCCTCAAAATCGCTAACTCTGCATTTCTAATATCTTCGACTCTCAAAGGCCCCACATTCATATTTTCGTATCCCGCAAGATGCATGACCTTTAAATACGTAACATATCGTGTCAACCACGCAACCGCTTTCAGTAGTTTGTACCAAGAAGAATAATATTTAAAAAGTGGATGTAAACCTGAATGTCTTTCTTGAGTAGATGTTAAACTGACACTTGTCTTCAACTCCAAGGCACACTCGTTTATCGGTGGTTCATCTTCTCTACGAGGCCACATACTATCAGCCCTTAGCAAGAACTCTGGACCTTTCCACCACTTATTTTTAACCACATTCATATCAATAACTCCTCGCGAGGCTAGATCAGCTGGATTTTTTCCAGACGGTACGTACCTCCACTGCTCAACAGTTGTTAGTTCACGAATTTGAGATACTCTGTTAGCTACAAAACATGCATATCTTGCTGACTCGTTGCGTATATAATATATCACAGACATCGAATCAGTCCAAAACGTTACGGGATGCTTGGGGTAATCCAACTCTTTACACACCGTTGTGAATAACTGCGCAGCTAGTAAGGCTGCATTAAGTTCTAATCTCGGAATCGAAACCGTCTTTAGAGGTGCAACTCTAGATTTACCCATCACCAGGCTAACATCTATATCATTCCTTAAGGTGGTTCTGATGTATACGGCTGCACCAAATCCAACCTCAGAGGCATCAGAAAAAACATGGAAGTCAATTATATCATGATTTCTCGACGGCTTAAGTGGACGTGAGACGGAATGTAGATTCAGCATTCTTAAACTGTTAACCCACCCCTTCCACTCTTCTCTCTGCCTCTCACTTAATGGTTCATCCCACTGTAACCCTTTCCTGCATGTCTCTTGAAATAACCTCCTAGCCGGAAGTAGATAAGGTGCTACTAATCCAAGTGGGTCAAACACGGACGACAACACAGAGAGCACACCTCTCCGAGTAACTGGCTTATCAATATCACCAACACTAAATCCAAAGGTATCAGAGTTCACATCCCATCGCATACCTAATGTGCGTTCAACTGGTAGAGTATCAACAGGCAAATCTCGTACGGTAGGTGCTCTGTCTTCTGGATCTATATGCTTCAAAACGTCTAGGCTGTTCGAGACCCACTTAGTTAGACGAAAGCCGGCCTTAGCTAACACTTCAGTAATGCTTGTTGCAAATCTAACTGCAGACTTATCATCATCGAAGGAGGCTAAACAATCATCCACGTAGAAGCAACAATCTATGACGTCCAGCAAATCATTAGAACCAAATGTGGACACTGCCTTTCGTAGAGCAAAATTAGCACAAAATGGGGAGGATGTGGCACCAAATGGATGCACTGTCATCCTATATTCTGACACCTTACCACAAGGACCGTCATCAAACCACAAAAACCTCAAGTGATCTCTGTCACTCTCTGGCACCTTCACCTGTAGGAACATTTCCTCAATATCCGCCGCGACAGCAACTGTAAACTTTCTGAATCTCAATAGCAGTCCCACTAATGAGCTCACGCAATCTGGGCCACTATACAGATTATCATTTAAAGAGACTCCTTCATGTTTCGCAGAACAATCAAACACCACACGGAGTTTACCTGGCTTCCTCGGGTTAAAGACGGGATGATGGGGCAAATACCACTTCCCTGGCTCACTCTGATCAACTAGTCTTTCAACGTAACCCTTCATTATATGTTTATCGACGACTTCCTTATATTTGGACCAGAGTTCTGCATCTGACAGAAATTTCTTCTGTAAACCCATTAGTCTCTTAAGAGCAACTTTCCTATTACAAACCAACTGTCTATCTTTGAATCTCCATGGTAGGCCAACGCTGAAACGCCCGTTTTCGTATTTACAAGAGTCCTCGGCTATTTTAACTGCTTTTAAGTCTTCTACAGAACGACCCTTCCCTGGGACACCGCAGTCACAAAACTCCTTGTCATACATATTTTTAATCATAGTTTCTAGTTTGTCCCCATCGTTTGTAACTAATGATGATATGTGGACTATGGGTATAGGTCCTCTCACTGTCCATCCCAGTGGTGTTTTCGTCGCAAACAGATCATCTCTACCTCCAAATCTCTCTTCTAATACCTTGTGAGCTTCTGGCACACTACATCCAATGAGTACTCTCACTCTTCCATCTTGCAGTGTTGGAAGAGGTATGTCACACAGGTATGGCTTACCGACAACCGTTTCACGACTAGGTACTATAGCTTCGCCAAGTTTCATACTGGAGGTAGTGTAAGCAGTATCCACTTCCACGGTTTCCCCAGTAGCCAAGGATTCTAACTGAAATGACACTCGCTCACATACTACTGTTTTCGCAGAATTGAAAGTATTTACAACCAAGGGTTGCTTTGGGCCTTTAATACCCAAGCAACCAGCCAGTTCAGCATCTATCAATGTAACGTCTGAACCATTATCCAACAATGCATAAGTCTCTACTGAAGATTTCGGTCCTTTCACCTTAACTGGTAATACCCCTAAGAAAACTTGTGGGATGTCAAGGGGTCTAGAGATACTATTACAATTAACCGAATTCCCAGGTTCGTTCACTGTTCTCAGAAGTGGGTGCATATCCGTTAAACCACTACTTCTTTTATTTGTCGCCTTACAATTCCACTTTGTATGCCCAATCTTTAAACAACTGAAACACAGCCGCTTCTGCTTTGCCATTTTTAACCTTTCTACGGGTGACATAGCGATAAAGCGATTACAATCACTCAATTGATGCATGTTATGGCAAACAATACACTCATCCTTTCTCGTTGTGTCTTGAGACTTCACCACAAATGCCTTCCTTATATTCACTGGTTCCTTAGGTTCTACCTTAGAATGCAAAATGCTGGCGAATTTGCCCATCGCCTGGTTGACACTGTCCTTCACCAGTCTCAGAATATCATCAAACCTTGGCTCGATACCCTCATCCTCCATACGGGAGCTTATTTTCACCCACTTCCTTTGCAGTCGAGTAGGTAGGCGTCTCGCTATTACTTCTAGTATAAAACTCGAGTTGAGGTCACTCATGCAATTCATAGAAATCAAGGTATTCTTATAAGTCATAAGATTATCTAAAAACTCAGGGAGTGCCTTGGAGTCATCTTGAAGTTGACTGCCGTTACCTTCGACAGCTTCGTATACGTTCCTTACAATCATTGAAGGTCTTCCAAACCTTTGACGTAATATGCTCATAGCTTCAGCGTATCCCTCATTAGGGGGCGTGAGCTTACAGCACTGTATAGCTCTTGAAGGATGGAATGGGAGAGACTTTGAATTAGTGGCGGTGCGCAAAACTTGATTAAATTCCCCGTAGGTATTAAACAGAGTGTCTCAATCAACTCATTTCTCTCACATGCGAAAGTGGTACGTAAAGAAGTACCAAATGTCCAGTTACTCTTTCTTTATACTAACCAGGCGTATTACACAAACGCTTAGGCAAACATAATATGATCCCCTGCATGAATGATTCATCATCCGTGGAAAGATTTCACAGAGCATAACTTTTCTCCTCATCATGTTGTAGGCATTAACGGGGTCTTGTTTCAAAAGTTCTACAAAATAATTCTGAATCCGATGTGTCTTTTTTACTTCCTGATATGTAGTCACGTGATATGTGTTTGTTTTTGACAGTCTGATATATTTTGCTATGTGTATATGGATCGATATTCCATTATAACTGACAATATGTTTTTGTCTGTCCACTAACTAAATAAATATGTATGACCTTGTTACCATATGAGATTACAACCAATCATGGTAAGACGTTATCTATTGGTTCATGTGTATTAGCCTTTTTCATATATACTTTGCACTGTGCGTTTTATCATGATTGTTCACACATTTTTTCGTACATCTAAGCCCCCTTCAACTCACACACTTGTGTGACATTTATTTTCCTTGTCTAGAAAATACAAGTATCATCATAAACCTCGTGGTCTTCTGATTCCCCTCTTTCCGCGTCAGGACTAATAACTACTCGACGAGGGCATAACATAATTGGCGACGGGGAAAACTTACTATTAGCCACTCAGCAGCAGTACGTAACACTTCCCATGGGGTAACAGTACTTCAAAGTGCAAAGCAGGAGAGTGGAAAAGCCTAAGAGGAACTATATCTATGGTTTCCCCATCTAGTTATTAACTACTTCGACCAAGTCGCAGAAAAAGAAGTGTATTTCATTCAACTGACTAGTCGAAAAATTGATGAGAAAACCACAGATGCTTGTTAGCAAAGGATTAACACAGGCGTGAGGGCTACTATCCCTTAGCAGAGACTTCATCTGATACTATAAAGAATATGCTATTCTGATAAAACTGTTTCACTAGACAGTCTAATAGGAACTAAGTAATTGGGATGTTCGAAATATGTTTCCTCCGTAAATTTTTAATCTAGAACAGACGTTACTGGATTTTCATTTGAAATATAGCTGAATAGTCAAATTTGGACATAAAATATTACAGCGAATTATGTGTAGTACCTCAAGCTTGACTTCAAAATCTTCATGAAAACAAAACACGTAGATCAGCGAAGAGTCTCTTTTCGGCGAATTCATTTTCTTAGCTGTACAATCGCAAATATATATGTGTTGTTTTATATGTATGTGTACAATAAGTTTGTCAAACAAAATTACAATTGGTTAAGGTTACTTTTAACTAAACAGGTGAAGGTTGGCAATAAAGTCAGGAAAATTAAGTGTTTATTAAACTAGGATAGTAGGAAAAGTGATGAGTTGTCACAAACAGTTGTTAAAAGAAGTTATGTAATAGTAATATGAATAGTTTGATGAGTAAGTTTTAATCAGAATGCACGTAGAAACAAAGTAGATAATACGAAATTATGTAAGAGATCTAAGTGAATACAAGAATTATAAGGAATTAAAGAACAGGCAAAGAAACAAATTTAAGACATCAAAATAAAAATAAAAAACTCAAGATATTGTTACCATGAGAGTAGAAGTGGCTGAGTAATCTTCTTTTGTATACACAGCTCCGGTTTTTCTATGGGAATAACCAGAGCTTCAGAGATACAAAGAAGATGTGGTGATTGACTATTTCTATCTCTGTATTGTTTAAATACTTACTGTTGATTGTTAATATTTCTTATATGAATTGCATTAATAATTCCGCTAAATACAAATTCCTGAATTCTGCCCTCTCTGTGTTTTGGTTAGATTTGTGTAATTTGGTCATCTCGAAATACTAATACTACGATTACAAATAATTACAACAAATTGGCGTCGCGATGGAACTAAATAACCTCGGAAAATTCCCTATAAATGGTTCTCCACGAAAGATTGCTGATTACCTTGAATGCTTCGATGCGTGGTGCATTTCAAAGAATGTTCGGGATGACAAAATACCAGCACATTTCATCACTGCTATTGGGATAGATGCGTATAGACTAGTAAAGACCCTGTCGTTTCCAGATCAACCTATTTCTCTGTCATATGTCAAGATTCGTGAACTTCTGACAAATCACTTTCATGTGACTACATTTGAGACCAGAGAGAGGGCTCACTTCAACAAACTGGTTCGTGCTCCCAACCAGAAGATTCGAGAGTTCATTCTTCAACTTCAAATTCAAGCTTCAAGGTGTAACTTTGGAGATCAGCTGCATACTCAACTATGTGATCGTCTAATTGCTGGAATCAATATTCCTAAGCTAGAGAAAGAGTTAATTCAGATTCCTTCTTGTACCTTTCAAACTGCTAAAGATTTATGTATTACATATGAAGATGTCAACAGTGAATACTCTGCTCCCACTACGTCAGTATCTGATGTCATGTTGTCCAAAGTCGAAAATACAAGTGTTCATGGAAAGAAATCCAAACCGTCGTCCACATGTAATGGAACGCAGCGAGGGATCAAAACCATTAGCCGTGTTTATCCTGTGGAAAGTTACATCTACGAAGCACTTGCCGTTTTCGGGGTGCTAAGTGTCACAAATGTGGTAAAGTTGGACACATCAAGACTGTTTGGAGAAGTTCGAATACTTATGTTACTCAGAATTCTCCCAATCTGTCTAGTAAAATGGAGTCAATGTGTCTTTCAACTTTTCAAAATACTCAAGCTCATCCAATGAAAACCTCCACTACAAGTTCAGCAACTCAAGCGACAACTGTTTTCAAATATGTGATAGCCAAGTTACAATGCAAACTGTCGAAAACCCGAGAAGAACTGAATGAGATGAGAGAGCAACTGATTAAAATGGAGGAATGGCTGCATATGCATAGACTGCGTCTCTTGAATGCAGAGCATACAAGTACCCATGAAAGTCCTGCAAAACTTTCCGAATCTCGAATTCTCAAAAAGCATCTGATGTCCACGACTTCTATGTACATTATTACAAAGGTAATGACTATAGACCTTCTATTGGTATCATACTACAAAGAATGGGAAATCGAGTGGTGAAGATACTAGACACCGAAGATAATTCAGGTCATAACAGACACTTGGATCAAGTGAGAATGTTATGTACTGGTCGAGAATTTAATAGTCCTTTCGCAAGGAAGACGGAAATCAGAAGACCACTAGGTTTGCGATGCTACTTCTATTTTCCAAACACAAGAAGAATAAATGTCACACAAGAGTGTGAGAGCAAAAATATATATATGAATGTCCGAACAAGTGTGTGAGAGAATATTCAAAATGAACAAATCAATAGACAGTCTTAACATGATTGGCTAATTATAATGGAATATCGATCCATATATACATAGCAAAATATATCAGACTGTTAAACAAACACACATATTATATGGATATATATCAGAGAATAAATGAGATAATTCAGAAACAAGTCTAGATGATACTGATGGAAATAATATCACAGAATCATTTAGAAGATCGCAGAGACTGGCAAGCGAACCGCGATATCAGAAGACGAAGCCGTATTGCCTTTGATAGGTTGTTCTTCACGCTGTAGATTACTTTGAAGGAAGCGTTTACTGAAATGCAATGATCAGTGTTGACCAGGTGTCCAATTATCTCATCCCTTATTGCGCCACTGTTGCCTTTTCTCAACCATGCTGGACAGTGTTCTTGAATCCTCTTGGACAGGATGCGCGTCAAACGACCGATCTACCTAGCTCCACCGCAGCAGGCGAACTGATATGTGCACATAGAAATGTTCAGAAGCGGGATCTTGTCCTTGAGGCTTCTGCAGATCAGTGGGCGACTGGAGAACACTATTCTTCGCGTTTCTGCAAAGAATGTTCTTCTCAGAGATGATTTGATCCTTCTCTTGAGAATATCACTCGCTGAATCTCCCTTGAAATCTAAGTTCATGTAGAGTTTCTTTTTAGGCGCAGTTACAAAGTGCATTCGTCTGTGTTTTCAACAGTGTTATTCTCCGAGAGTTGTCAAATAATTTCTGTTTCCCTAAAAATGGTTTCAATAAATAAAAGAAGTATGTAGGTTGAAGGACATTGTGTGCCAGGAAATCCATTCTTTCAAGGTCATCACTCCAAACACGATGGCTGGTGCTCCACATAGGAGTGGTCCGCTAAAACAGCAGAATAAAAGGCATAAAGGAACTAAAAAGCAAACTGACAAGTCTCTGAAACCTCAACGCGTGAAGAAAAGTATTAAGGTACTGTGTTATTTGTATCTGTGCTAAGTGATGACTAAATACTGGTTGCAGTTACGCGCGTTATGCACCAAATTAATATCCTAAAATTTTGTCCCAGTACATTTACCGTCGAAAATGTCCATTTTATCTGTAAGTGCAGAAACTTCAGTGCGACGGTTAGCATCACGTAATTCTGCCAGTTGTGTCACAGCTGTACAGACTAGTCTGTACAAAATTAATTTAACTAGTATAGTTTACTACTACAAGATATAGCTGTTAAGGCTCGCATATGTATGAAGTTTTGTATGTCTTCTCAATGTTGCTAAATTGAGGTGGGACTTGCAATGAAGTAGCTAGATGACTAGTACTTAGGTTGTGGTGTATGATCAGCTGAAACTTTTTATACTCATTCAGAAAATGTAGCAACCACAGAAGAGAATGAAAACACCCAATGAGCAATTTTAATATGGTTATGGAGTCTGTTCGGAAGTATGAGTTAACTAACTGCAATTTACGTTGTGCTACGAAACAGTGGAATCACTTGGTGATACGACTGATATCCATTCACTAATGCAAGCGTATCCAATATATATATATATATATATATATATATATATATATATATATATCATTGTTATAATCTGATAAGCAGATGAGTTCGCGTGGTTTGTTTGTTTGACATTTATATTCTGAGTTTTTACCATGCATTATTTTCAGCCTTACATGATTTAATTTCTTTCAGGTGTTAAACAAAAGTCAACGCCGTTTGCGTTCCAAGCAGCTCCGCATACAGAAAAAAATAGAGGTTCGTTGTGAAGGATATATTTCTAATGTGGTCTAGGTTAAAAAATTTGAGGCATCACGGGGAACCCGAGAAAACCCCATAGTTTGCGTTTTGATCCCTTTATCTCCCTTGGTACCAACACATTTAGCCCAAATTTTGTTTCAAACATGTGCGTCGAACAATGAGGTTTTGAAAGGACCCAAATCGTGTTTACAAAATGTAGTCACTTTTCACTCTCACATCCTCAACAAATATTTCACCTTCATATCTGCACGAAGTGATGATCTTTTTGGATGTCTAGATCTCGCTCAGTTTGCAGACTGGCTTATTCTCTTAGTTCCAAGTAACCCTTCAGAAATTCCGGACTCTGTTCATGAGTTACTCACTGCCATATATACACAAGGTTTTACAAATGCATCATACGCTGTGCTCTCATCAAGTTCGAATTTAAAGAGTTAAAACAAATTTTAGAAGTAAGTTATTCTCATTTATAACATGTTTCGCTATATTCATTTTTCTTGAAAATACTCTTAAGTTATGTAGTGTTTTAGTGTTGGGATCTTCAACTGTAAATTTTTGTGTGGGGATCAAGAAACACGCATTTGTGCTATGAGTTATAGACCATATTAATCTAGTCTACAGGAAACAATGACTGGATTTTGGCCGATAAATATCTTGAGAACTCGTTATCCGTGCAATCCAGCTGTCAAAAATTGACTAGTTTGAGTAGTTCTGTAAACGTTCTCAGAGTAAATGTTGGTTTGAATGTATATTCACACTTAATCTAACATTTCTTATTGCTAAGAAACAGATTAGTGAATGTTCTGGGACGGGAATTTATCCTGGCATTCTTTTGTGTTAGAGCTTACTTCATCTCTATTAAACCTCTTATCACTTGGATGCACTATATATTACGATTTCTAGTTGCATTGAAAAAATAATTCAATGAAAATAAGTAACTGCATAGGTTTTTTTATTATAGCATATTAATTCAAATTAGCACGCAACACTTTCATAAGAGTAGAAGTCGAGGAAAAGTAGACAAAAAGAAGGGAGTTATTATTGATGTTTTTGAATAATCATAAAAAAGAACAAGGCAATATGATTTTATCAAGTAGAATAGATTAGGTACAGAGACATGTGTCTCAAAGTGCTGGGACTTAAATGGTATCTTTCAAATGAAAGATACCATTTATGGCGCAGTTGTATTCAGTCTCTGTAATCTTTCGTATTCCTTTCTACCATTACCCATTCTGTTTCGCTCTTATACTTGTCAGACTGTATTGATTCTCTTCACTCATCTTATTGTCTACCTCTGTGTGCTATTTGGAAGGTGGCAACTCGAACTGCTGCACTTCGGTGCCAAGTTCTATGTTGAATCCAGACAGATAGACTTCCAAATGATAGCAGAGCATAACTACTTGTTAATTCATTTGATTCGAAATTGAAACTTACATCAACCTAGGCTGAAAAAAATACTTCGTAGAACTTGAGTTGCATAACTAAAATGTCGCTTAAAATTTAAAAATAACTGTTTCTTTATGATTTATCCTTGTAAAATCTAAATTGATCTTTCATACGGGTTACTGTTTATTGCACTAAAAGTGTAGATTTCCTGTCCCAGAATCTACTGTACACCAACTGAACTCAAGTTCCAATGCAATGCATCTTCTGCGTCATATTGCTTCGACGAGTCCATCAAGTTTACATGTTAAGACGAAGAACGCAAAAGTAGCTGGACAGTCTGCAGTAGCCCACACAGGTGCACGGTACAGATCACGCCTACTCGTCGACTCTCTTGATTTATCCTCCAAAAATGGTAAGCTTCTGTTCATCTTCTATATATAATTTATTCTCATAAAATCCATTGCCTCAAGCATTCTACTTTCAGCCGATGGGTCACGGATTCGAGTCCAACTCCACCTACTTCAGTATGAGCAGCTGCATTATATAATCAGCCCTCACAATGTGTTCGGTTCATAGGCTGGTAAACGAAAAATAAGCTTCCTGCAATTGAGCTTAGATGAACAGTTAAACCCAGCGAAGTATTTAAAAGTTGAAGTTAGTTGGTAACGGATGATTGATCTTGTGTACTATGTTTCTGTGTTCGACTTCAGGATGTACTTGGAAACTTTTTACGTATTCTTTCTGTAGATGGGGAAAATCTATCATATCACTGTTTCGTCACTCATTACCCTTTAATATTTCAACTTTGACGCAGTTTACTCATGAGTTACACTAAATTTTTCGCATACCGATAACTCATTTTCGGTACAGCAGGTTTTCGAATAGGTTTATATTCTGAGTTTATAGTTGACAGTCATTTCTGGTTCTCCATAAATTTCAGAAACTGTCATTGAAACTCCACAGATTCATTTCTGTAAACATACGCTTTCATTGAAATATCCGTAAATATGTTACTCATTATGTATCATAAAATTTCATACTCAACTGTTTGCGGTAAGATTAAGGTAGTCAAGATAAATAAGTTTTATTAAAGAAATATAGTTGTCTTAACGAAGTGGTTTATCTGTATACGAACTCATTAACATGCTTCTCAATGCTTGTAATTCTCCAATGGAACAACTTACTATCGCTGATATGTTGATGACACATTTGCATCGGTATTATATGATCGCCTAAATGAGACCCATCCAAATATCTAACTCACCATGCAATATGAATATAATAATGAGTTCATTTTTCTGGATCTAAATGTAGAAAGAACAAACGAAGGTACGATCGGAAAGTCCATCTATAGGAAAGAAACCTTGACTGGGCAATATCTTCACTATAACAGCTTAGTGAAGACTTTATACGACAGAGCCAGGAAGCTATGTTCACCGAACAAGGTCAAAGAAGGATTAGTTTTCATCGAGAAGTACCTAAGGGAAAATGGATACCCTAATGAGTTTATACAAAAGTAAAGCAGAGGAAAAGATAAGGAAGAAAAACACCCAACTGTAGAAAAGAAGAAAGTGTTTATTTGTCTCCCATTCAAAGGAGATGCAGTGTCACGAAAGATTGACAAAAGATTGAAAGGTGCAATAAATAGAAGCTTCCCGGCAGCAAAATTCATAAGAGTATACAGCACCACTCTTTCTATAAGCCACTAAAAACTGGATAAATACCCTGCTGATGTCACCTCTAACTGCGTTTATGAATTTACGTGCACTTGGGGTAGCAACATTATTATATTATCGCATATTGATTGTTTATTAGCTATATCACACGGTGAAACAGTATTATCAATTATAATTGATATGATTATGAACAACAAATTGTGCTTCAAACGTCATCCAGTAAATAATACTATTTCACTATGTGATATATCCAATAAACAAATAATATGGAATTACATACTACCAGAGTGCGTAAGTTTCACACACATTAACTTGTAGGATATCCATTTTCAGTGAGGACTTCAGTTCATCATCGACTGTATAATTGGTGCATATCCTTCTTGTTCGTGAGGACTTGAAGATAAAGAGTAGATCGGACTCCTGTTTCTTTTCAGAGGGACCCAACTATGAAGATTCTTATATTGACCATTTTAAGTTAGCTTCCTGTAGATTGGTCTCCGAAGAGAACCTTCATATCTCCTTTGCAACAAAACAACCAAAAGTGGGACTCAGACTTCATCTGTAATTCTGACGTAAATTTGACAGAATAGCAGCAACTGCTGAACTCATTTGTTACCACTTCAATCTCTTTGATCTTTGATTTACATCTTGATTCCACACTGTATTTTTGGTACAAGTATGGAATTTTCAGAATGGATATCGGTAGCCCAAATTTCGCAGGCCGACCATAGATATCAGGTGTGCGTCGGCAGGGGATCGAACCTCGGACCATGTGCATGGTCGGCGAGAGTCCTAACCACTGTACCACCGACGCATCTCATCATTCTTGTCGCGTATCACATACTTATCTTTGGTACATTTGGAAACTTTCAATAATTTCGTAACATACTGTTCGCCATTGAGTCCTGAATGTTGGTAAAGCCTTGTGCAACAGTGTTCAGTAGACGGACTAAGTGGTGTTAATTGTTATCCCTGTTATTATTAAATCCCTTATTATTCCGTTTATTTGAATTGGTCTTTAATTTTTTATGTTTAATAGAAATTGTTCGGAATGTATTGTGCAAATGCATTACATTTTTCAATATAAACTCCGTTTTCTAGTGATACTGTCCATATTTATTAAATAGGACTGGTCTTTCTAAATTAATGTCTAGTAATTGAACGTCAAATGAAAACTTAGTTCACTACAGGTTTCCATTTGGTGGCCTCCAAGTCTTTTCTCACATCAATTTTTTATGGTATCAGCTTCATGTACTGGTTACATCAAATAATTTCTCATAGTTTTTTACAATAAATTTGTATTCATTAATTTAAAATGTAGAAAATGGCGATGCAAATGCTGAGTCTGATGTGACTTTATGTCTGCGTGGTCGCCTTCTTGGAGCACCATTGTTTTTGTTTGAAGAATTGGACCAGTGTGGTACTGTTCCTGTTGGCCCCAGTGTACACTTAACTGGTTGGGGTGATTTTCCTCTGGAAGAGGCCAGATGGGTTCATCCTAACGGGTTGAAGGGAAACTGGAAAATTGCGGACTTGGAAAATTCTGAAGACTTTAAAACGAGAGATAAATCTGTGAATTCAACAATAAATATGATTAATTGTAAGTTAACATCTTTTTATCTCTTCAGTCAATCAATAATTAAGAATTATGTACTTTACTTTATATCTTTTGTGTACAAAAAGAGAACTGTATTTCACTATCCAAAAGAAGTATACACTTGCCGTATCAGAAGTTCTGTTTTGATCGATAGTCACCACCGCAGTAAATTCGCCTAATTTTTATCAATCAGAAAAATAAAATATTCATTTATCTGGTACAACACTGAGTTGATTCAACTAGGCGTCAAAAACATTGTCAACGTACCAAAGTGTGTGTACACAAGTTTTTTTTGGCTGACATTTATTTGTGTAAAGATGTAGCTCACTGATCTAGGCATTCGACTTTTTACCAGTTGGTCATGGATTTGAACCCAGTTCGGACAACTAACCAGTATCACCAGATCTCACAATAAATGTGGCCTATTCAAAATTACCTGAATATGAGTGTTGTTGAGGTTATCTAACCCACAATTATTGATCCATAAGACGGTATGAAATTGATTAAGTACAGTAGATAAATGTACACACAGTGTGCTAATGATGGTACATGACTGCACTTTCGAAAGCAGTTCCAAAAACATGACTGCCCAGTTTGAAGCGTAAGAATTAGGTTCACGCCTGTTCTACCTATTGCCTTTGATAACCAGTTACTGAGATCCTAAATTTGCACCTTGGTTGTGGTATCAGTGTGAAAAATTCCACTGTTCATTATGAACAAGGTGTTCAAGTATTCGTCTTTTGCCTATAATGCCATCCGATTTTTATGACTCCGTTTTGTCAAGTGTAGATAGTGAAACTTCATATTTCTGTAATTCTAAGTTGATGTCCGAATCTATATGCGCTTTTATAATTGCATTCTTCTGCATTTGTTATTATTAGACTAATACTTCTGGAGTTTTGAGAGACATCTAGTTATTTTGTGCACTAAAAAGTCCTTTGCGCTAGTATCAGTATCATGAAATAATCAGATTTTAGCGTTTAAAATGTATCCTGACTGGTTGTTTATTATAATAGGCTTCAACTTCACTTTTAGTTTTGTCTAAGAGGACTAGAATTTTCACTTTCCTAGCTGCATTTACCCATTGGAATTTGAGTGTTTGGCCTTAAAGGGAATGCCGACAGATTACATCGCAACAATCAAGGCAATCTATTCGAACTCATGCAGCCGTGTAAAAGCTTATGCATATATGTCATCTGACGTGATAACAACCAGTACTGTCCATCGTCAATGCCCACTTTCCCCATTTTTGTTTAATTTCGTCATAGATGTACTGATGAAATTGGACCTAACTAACTTTAGCGTCTCAGGGATTGACTTGTTACCAGGGAATAGTCCTATCAGTTCAGAGTATACGGATAATATTGTCTTCATAGGTGGAGGTACTGATGAAATGCAGAGTATTCTGAACACTGATTAGAAATCTGCACATTTTTAGCATGTGATTGGCCCCTGTCAAATGCAATATGGTGTTACAGGACTGGACTACAACGACTCCTGGCTTGAAGATAGGGTGTGAGGTGGTTGAGTGTGTTGACCACTTTACTTATTTAGGAAGTTGCGTCATCCCCAACGGACTGATTTCTTTTGAAATCTCATCACGGCTGAAAAAGGCTCTTGTGGTGTTCGCCAACCAACGTCATCTCTAGAGTAGACTTAATATCCGACTATTGATCAAAAGATCTTCGAGATATAGCCACTGAAATTGAAGATGCGAAAAGTTTAGCTATCTTTGACTGCAGATGTTGGGGTTCTACCTCCCATATAAAGTGTTATAATATGGTAATGTTGAGAATAGGTGTAGACCATTGGGTAAGGAAAGTAAGTAGATTGATGAGGTTGTGAAGCTTGATCGATTGAGATGGCAAGACACGTGTTACGCATTCGAATTCACGACTTTCTTCGATGAGCAATGTTAGGTGACAAACAAAAACCTAGAATCAACCCACGAATTGTTTGATAGTTGATTTGAGTTGGCCACTTTAGAAGATGTAGTATGCCTGGCCGGAATCCTTGGGATGTCTTATACCAATGTTTGGAGACTGGCGATATGGTTCAAAACGGTTCTCAATGGCGCAGATGTATTCACCTTTTCTGATATGCCATATCTACTAAGCCCTTATTTTTCTCCGTGTTACTATTCTTTGTCCTGAACATGATTGCTCACTATCGTTCTTTTGAATATCTTTTTTTTGACTTTTTTCTTTACCTTTATGTACTACATGAAGTGTGATAACCTAAACTGCAGTAATTCTGTGCAGAGTTTTTTGTTGAAACTCAATCACTCAGTCATTGAATTTTGAGTGAACTTTGATCTTATTTATTGATTTTTCGAGAATTTAAGCATATTATTTTGAACAATCACTAAATATTCATATATCACATCTGCCCGTTTTAGCTGATGAGGATTCCGAGGAAGATTCCGTGTCAGATGAAATGTCTGTAGACGACTCACAACAGTGTGTTGATGAAGATGGATCGGACGTAATGGAAGGTGAACCTGACCAATTGCAATTGGAGATGTCTGATAACTCTGATATGGAATGTGCATCGATAGCTAGTCATACTGCCCACACAATGGCAGCAAGCGCTACTTCTGCATTTTCTTCGGCTCAGTTAGCCAAATTTCGGGCAGCTAGAATGGAAGAAATGTTTCCAGATGAGGTATATGGTTTTTAAAAACTGTTCAGTTCATATACTAAGTGTACTGCTCATCAGTCCGCTCCGTCCTCCTGTATGGTTGTGAGACCTGGCCACTGAGAGTGGAAGACATGAAAAGACTAGCTGTCTTTGATCATAGGTGCCTGCGTTCTATTTCCCGTTTAAAGTGGCATAATAAGGCGAGCAACATGGAGGTTAGGCGTAGAGTTCTAGGTAAACAGGGGAAATCAATCGACGAAGTCGTGAAGCTACAAAGACTGAGATGGTTAGGACATGTGTTACGTATGCCAAGCCATCGCCTCCCTCGACGAGCTATGTTAGCGGATATAGGGTCAGGTTGGAAAAAAGCTAGCGGCAGTCAAACAAAAACTTGGCACCAGTCAATGAAATCCACAACAGTTGGTCTAAGCCACGTAGGAAGGTGTAGACTTCCAGGCTGGGGTCCTCGGGACGGTAAAAATCTATGGTTGGAAACAATTGGTGACATGGCTCAAAACCGTTCTCAGTGGCGCAGATGCATCCACTCCCTGTGACTTATGATCTCCAATGAAACTGTTTTGTATTTCTTTATTACTCCTTTGTCTCACACCTCTGCTCACTGTTTCTATTATGCTTTTTTTGTACTTTCTTCTCTTGCTTCGCGTGCTACACGGAATGTGGCGACTTGAACTTCCGCACATTTGTGCAAAGTTTTATGTCGAAAATAGACAGACAGACAGATACTAAGTGTAGCATAATGATGAAGGAAATCACATTCTAAGTAAGCGTATAAAACTAAAGTGTGGTTGTGTTGTATGTTCTCTTTCATCAATACTGAGTTTAGTTGAGGGTTCTTAGAAGACTCACTTTACAATTAACAAAATTGAAATCAATATATGCAACTTCTCGCTTTAGTTATTCGCTTAGAGAGCTTCAGAACAACTGGCATCTAGGTGAATGGGTTGCATGGTAGGTATTACACGGACTACATTTTCGATGAGTTTATTCAGTTCCAGGAAATAGTAATGTACAGTTTATGGTTTACTTATGAAGTTCATATTTGTTCTTGAGGAGACAGTCTTTGTAGTTGTCTGTCTATCAAGTTGTTTGCTTTTACCGAAATTCGAAATTTCCCATGGTAATTCCCCACCTGCCTAATTAATATAGTATCGAATAAAATAACTAGCTTGCAGTATTTTTCACTTTCATTGCATGTGTAGAGGGGTGAGCGGTCTCTAGTTAGTGTTACTCCACCATATTAAGTGTCGCTATTCACTTTCTGTTGGTTTGCTCCTACTGTATTTTGAAATGTTTTAGTAGATAACTGGCATATGGTGCTCCATTATACTTTCAAGAAGTTTCCGAAATATAATTTGCCTTTTCCCCAATTTTTTGCAGGTTGAAACCCCTCCTCATATACCAGCTAGCGAGCGCTTTGTGAAGTATCGTGGTCTTTTGCGTTTCCAAGGCAGTGTGTGGCCAACGGAGGATGACATTTTGCCGAAGTATTATCAAAATATTGCCTGGTACGTATTCAGTTTATGTCGCTTATTAATTATTATTAGAAGTTTTATACATAATCTTAAATTAATAAGCTGTATACAGTATACTGGTTCCTGTTCGCTATTCAACGAAGAGTTCAAGCCCGATAGTACTGTCGCAGATGGCTTGTTAATTATTTGCTGTCAATAAAATTGGCAGCACACAACTTGTGAGACTGATTTGTTATCAAAAAATGATACAGACCTTCAGCATGATTTGTAGACAGCAACTGTGGGTTACAACAGACACTGTTAGACACAAGTACGATGATAATTATTTGTGACGTTCCTACGGATTCTCCTCGTCGTGTTTGGTCTAAAAGTTATTTACATAACGTTTTCAATACATTACACGTTTCATTGACATAAGAATAAAACTTGTGCACTGTGGTAGAGTGTAATTCCATTATGGGTAAATTTTGTTTTGATAAAGTCTCACAGTGTTATACACTAATGTTTACTGATGACGTTTCGAGAACAATTTATTGCTCATAATCATATCAAGGTACTCACACGACTTCCTAACTTCATTTATATAGATCGATTATTTTTCACTTGATTTTCATTTGATTTTATTGGCATCGCTTGATATTTATGGACAGCTGGGAAAATATGACACTCAATACGTTTAATCCTATGTGGATGACACTTTCTCTGTGTTGAAAACAGAACATATCTTTAGCTTCTTGACACACATAAACTCACTAGTGGAGGGAATAAACTTCACATTTGAAGCGGACAATGAACAAGGATAATTACCTATGTTAGATTGTAAAATAAAACGAATAGAAGAAGGTAAAAAAACCCAACTCATTCTAATAGATATTTAGACTTTAATTCATCTCATCCGTTAACTATTAAGGCAGGCTTAGTTAAGTGTTTAACAAACCGAGCAGTAGCACTAAGTAGTACAAAAAAAAGACCTAAATGATGAAATAAAACAGATAGAAGAGGCGTTAGTGTCAAATAACTATCCTTTAAAATTCATTAGGAAGATCGAAAAAGGCCAAACGAAAAATAAAAATAATTGTGAAACTAGTAATGATAACATATATAAGAGAGAATACAAGTCATCTACAGTTATACCATATAAAGAGGGGACATCTGAGACCCTACGTAGGTTTCTAAATAAAACGGTAATTAAGGTGACATTTAAACCCAAAAACTCACTCAGGGTCAAGCTCTGTAGGTCAAAGGACCCAGGTGACCCAGTTAGATGAAATAATATAATTTACAATATACCCTGCAGTGACTGTGAGGTCAACTGCATAGGTCAAACTAGTAGGCCAGGGGTAGTCAGATTGTCAGAACATAAGAATTTAGCTAAAATAAGAATGGTTGACCCCGCCCGCGAAGATAAGTAATTTAGAAAATAGCTCAGCAATTGCAATGCATGCATTAACACACAACCACACAATAGGGTGGGAGAGGGTTAAAATTCTAAAAAGTAATCTATGTAGGTGTAGAGAGAGGTTGATTACCGAATCCTTGTTCATCATGTCTACACGCAACACATGCAATAGGAATGATTCGTCAATCATATCTGAAATGTAGAAAATACTACTACCAATAAAATCAAATGAAAATCAAGTGAAAAATAATCGATCTATATAAATGAAGTTAGGAAGTCGTGTGAGTACCTTGATATGATTATGAGCAATAAATTGTTCTCGAAACGTCATCAGTAAACATTAGTGTATAACACTGTGAGACTTTATCAAAACAAAATTTACCCACAATGGAATTACACTACCCGTTTTTCTAACCCAGGCAACGATGTTATCATCAAGCTTATGGCTAGTCGGTTATGCTCTTTGATGTATATATTATATATGTAAGGCATTGGACTCGTATGTATATAGCTTACCAAAAGTGCAAGCAAGCAAGAAGCCCTCTTAGTTTTATTTTTCTTCCGGTGCCCTCTTCATTCACCCCTACACAGATCTAGTTGAACCTCTTCCAGAATATTATAGATATACCTACATTTTAATTGTTATATTAGATGGCCGAAGTTGTACTCCTCAAAAACATCGGCTGAAACAATCGCATGTGTTTTCGTCAAAGGATAGATTGGGATTTTCGAATTCCCATTTTCCACGACAACCAATCTTGGGTGGCACTCCCAGAGCAGTTTGTTTTTCTTCTTAGCTGAGCTCATAGGTTGCACGCGTTTCAGGACAACAGCCTGCCATCCTCAGGCAGACAGTAGGGTAGGAAGTCCCCACTGACATTTAAAGATTGGACTATCAGGCTCATAAACTGCACAGTGCCTGAGTCACTACCCTTAGTCCTTCCTGGGATGGATGAAATGGGTTGAAGCCTGAATCTGGGTGTTCTACTACAGAGATAGTATATAGAGCAACAGTACAATTACTAGGTGACTAAGTAAATATTCCTTTATGACACGAGCTACTGCATCAAATGTTATCATTGGTCGCGTTGTTATTCTTTGCATTTGAATCCTTGTTCATAATTTCGATAATGATGGCTGAACTTCTCTGAGGCAGAATAGTAGTTGTACATACGATCAAATGAGCCGATAGAAGACTGAAGACCAATAGTTTAAACTCATTCATTTGTTGTAGTTTGCTGAATTTGTCTTTGTCTCTAGAATATCGACAAAACAATAAGAAGACGTAATTTATCTGGGACGTGTAATGTATTTGTCCAACACATTTCGGACATTCTGATGACACATTCTTTTCATACACATATTTATGCACAAGGCGACAGAGCATAAGTGATTGCAATATAGTTCAATTTGTGTACAGGCCAAGGCCACAAATAAGGGGGAGGAAGATGATGTAAGAATATGAGGTAAGAAAAAAGGAAAGGAAGAGGGTGAAAATACTATTGAAGTAAATTGGACCGTGGTTCTAAATTGGATGACTAACACGCATTCTCTCATTGGTTATCATGTCAACTTTCTTACAAAATCATGGTGCTCAAAGTCTGATGGTGGGAAAAATTCTTATGTCTGAACAAGATGCTGGACTTTATATTTTACACATTTTGAGATATAAAGTCAACTTATAGACTGATAGTTCATCAAATTATCTATCTTGTATTCGAATGATTGTAATTGAAATATATTGTGTGCTTAATGTATATATGTAAATAACAGCTGGTCAAGTTGAAAAACTAGGGGAGTGAACACACTAATAAATTTTGAAACGCACGAGTAGAGCAAGTCACTAAGAGATAAAGGTTAAAGCCCAAATCTACCTCTTAAAGATTGATTGGCCCTTCCAAGGTCTTCAGCGCATCCGTTCCCCTTGGGTAGATTTTTTAAAAATTTAATCAATCAGCCTGTTTACATTATTTCCTAATCTATTTACTGTGATTGTTCAGTATAAAAATTATTAAATGTTGAAAATGTTTTATCCACTGTTTCTTCATTTTCATTGTTAAGCTTTAGAAATTATCATCGTAATAGGCGTACTATGATTCGCTACATTGAACAGAAATTGGCAGATCTTCAATCAGCACACAAAGCTGGACAGAATCTCCGTAAATATATACCATCCGGTGTAGATGTAGAGCTTATATTACAACTTGCCTCACATGATCTTGGCGAGAAGATATTAGCTCATCACACTCTGCGTCAAAGCAGTGATGCCGTCAAACCATCTGACCTCAGACCTCATCCACTTATTGTTTGGTCGTTGTTACCTCATGAAACAAGAATGTCTGTTTGTCATTTTACAATGAGTCGTCTCTCTTCTGCTCTTCGTGCAGTATCAGATTTGATGGTAATAGCAAATGTAGCAAATAAAATTAGTGAATCATCACTTAAAGAAAGTGATGACTCTTATCCGATAGAATTCGGTGAAGAAGCTTCTACGAAAATTGAACGTGAAGATAAAGAAATACACGACGCTCTCATTGATCATCGTAGTAAAATTTCTAGGAAGGATACAGATAAGACAGTTTATGATCCGAAAACTCCTATACCTCCAGAAGCTGAACCGATTAAATCGAAGGATCTAATGCTTATTCAGGTAGGAATCATTTAGATCCATGGAATTCGTAATTTTTGTTCATTCATAAGTTTGAACAAAACAAGAACGATAAGTGTTCCAGGATAATATGATCGCATCCATTATTTTGGAGGATTCTTCTCAATTGGGGATGACAAGGAGTAATTGATAGGAATTAAAAGTGACCATAAGTCCAGAATGATGTAAGTTGTTGTTGGTGTTTACTCATGTTACTCCTGGTCATTGCAGGAAAAGTTGTAACCAGTTGAGAAGAAATCTAAAATTGATAAAAGCTGATCTCATATTATCCTGACAAATCTGTCGATCTTGCTTTATTCAAGTTTATTAATGAGAAGAATTGGATGAAGCTATTCATAGTTGCTTGATTTTGTAGTTTTTTTAGATTATCAGATTTACCAGTATTTTTGTTCTACTTTATTAGCCTTATATATTCTGCTTGTTTTATTGTCATGTTAACTTGAACACCTTTTTAATGCTCTTTTCTGTGTTAGGTCCACTAACTAATTTATTAGCTTTACTTACTTTACAGAACTTAGACATATTGGTATTGATAAGGAAGGATATTATCGAAATTTTGGAACTTGACAGAAGTTCTTTATTCACCCGTCTGTAAAGTTTGTCACAGTGAAGTTGTACTGGTTACTGAACAACATTTCGAATGTGAATTACTCTCCCCATTTGGTTATCAAAGGTAAACTTGATAGCCGCTACCTTCATTTGGTGGTGTAGGGCTTGAGTATCCTAGTGAGCACACTGGAAGGAAAGAATGCGCCTGCAGTTTCTATCATGCTACTAAGCTCGTTTCGATAAGTCTGATAAAAAGTTACCGAAAATAGGTGTTTACCTAAATTGTGTTCAGTAATTTCGGTATCAACAAAAGATTACTGAGAAAATAGTGAATGAAACTGTCAATAAAGTATACATGTACGGTGTTTTAACCATTTGGAATCATGTCATTAAGTTTATCGAATCAGTTTTTCGTCTCATCTTCAGGATCTCAACTAATCAATATTCATGGCTTAGACAAACGCCAAGAAACCTCATTAAGTGATGCTACGTTTTAGTTTGACTAGCTGAGGTCTTATCTTAAATGAATCCCTCTCGAAATAACAGTGCGTATACATAACGGCACCAGTTAGCTTGGATAACACATTCACCAGTTTCACACATATTTCATATTCCTTACTGTCAAATATTGTGTACAATGACCCTATGACACGGTTTGCAGTTATTACTTGGAAAATAAGCATGTGTAATATGTTTATCCAAATACCAGTTGCATATGATTCTACTTCTGTTAGCTACACAAATCAATATCTGTGTCGTTGTAACGTAGTTGAATCTGAAATATATCTTACTGTTTATAGGAAAATAGCACTATTCATAATTTTTAGAATTCTTTGTTTTCAGGCTGGCATTCGACGTTTTGTAGCTGCTCCAATTTATTCCACTACAAGCAATCCACGCGAAAAGAGTAAATATGAGTCTTTCTTCCCGGCTACACAAAATTCTACTACAGCAAGTGTTTACGCGCCAGTAATGTATTCGCCTGTCAATGTGTTACAGTTTAGAATCAGAGTGACTGAGGTAAGGGGATTTTGTTTACAATTGCGGTCAATAAAATAATCTCTTTCTGGTAAGCTTCAACTAAGTAGCTATGAATTAACAGAAAAGACAATTTTAGGAAATGTAACTCAACGTTATTTATTCCTCTTACTTTCTGGGTATTATGCAGTGCGGTATAATAATGGGCTTATTTTCCATCCGTATCTGCAATCTCAGTTCGAGATGTTGATTGGGAGAAATCGAATGCAATAAACCTACAATCTGCTTCCTGCATTTTCGCGTGATTCTGCTTTGCCAGTAGTATTAGTTTGTCGAGAGCACAAATCGACTAAAACGCTCATTAGGTCAACAGAAACTCGCTTTTTTCTGACACATCTTTTTAGTGATTATCTAGGCGCATTTATCTAAGCAGTATTTTTTTTACTTTATAGGATGAAGATGGAGAACTGTCACCTCCATATGTTGGAGAGTTAGTAGCAACTGGATCGTTAAAATCCGCCGATCCGAATCACTTAGTCATTAAACGGATTCTTCTGTCAGGTCACCCGTATAAAATTAAACAACGTCATGTTGTTGTCAGATACATGTTTCACAACCCTATGGATGTTCTTCATTTCCAGGTAATTCTCTAATGCATTTTATGCAGTAATTCCCTATTTGGAAAGATGTAAACAGCACTAACTAAAGCTGACGCAATTGGCAACTCTAAAGATAGATTTTATTTTGTTTCTGTATGTTCCCAGTGGAACATAGGGCTTCAAGTCATGGACTTGAAGTTTCTGCAGCAGTGCTGTTGATTTTTATGGGATGGGGATGCTAGCCTCATTCCCAACCTTCCCTCTTCAGCAGTCTTACTGCTGGCTTAACGTGGTAAAGGATTGCATCGGCCGGGGACCGAACCCCGGAGCACAGGCGTAATTGGCGAGCATTCTACCGATGTGCCACCGACGCAAAGACAATGGACTTCTTAAACTATAGCACGATGAAGTTATTCACAGCCTGTGTATTCTGCGTAAGTTTGTTTCGCAACGCAACAATAGACGACAAACAAGCTCTATGCACATTTTAATAATAGTGACGCTTTCAAACAGCTACTCGTATAGACAATCAAAGGTTCAATTATTCCATATGTCTTAGTCAAGCTGTTTTACATCGTTTTTGGATTAGCAAAGGTTTTCAATTCACAGGATTAAATACAGGTAGTTTATGTAGTTTAGAATCTGCAACTTTTGCTTTTGGTCTTAAAAATAATCTGTGTGCAAATTTTCACGTAGCCTGTACAACTGCAAACAAAGCACGGGGCCGTGGGACATATTAAAGAACCTGTTGGGACTCATGGTTACATGAAATGTATCTTCGATCGTCCAATCATGGCTCATGATGTTGTTTTAATGCCGTTATATAAACGAGTTTATCCGAAGTGCGTCTACGAACCGATGGTGATCAAATACCTCAGTGAAAATGAAAGCAAGAACCAGGTGGGAAAAACAGCAGGAGACTACCTCTGGCACACCAGTTCAGATACAATTCAACTGAAGAAAAAGCTTGGACCCATCTCTGGTCAGGATAAAATGGATCAAGATGAAAAAAACCTATTTGCATGAGCTGGTCTGTAAATCTGTATTCATCACAGCCAACTTATGTACGCTTTTCCTAATTTTATTGTGAATTGTTAAGATTTCAATAAATTCCTTTCCAACATTCTTGGATAAAAACTGCATTCTGTATTTATTTCAGTCAAGTTTGTATGCGAATGTCGACTAGGAAACGAACAACTGAAAAAAGGATTTACAGTGATTTAAGTTTTATTTGACTTTTTTTGGTACGCTACTAAGGAGTACATAGTAGTTACTTCCCATTCAGATTTGGAAAGCGTTCCAAAGCAAGAAGTCCTCCGATGTTGGTCATCCTGATGCTCTCTCAGATGAGAATATTCACTATCATCTGTAAATTTATCGTCAGGATCGCCGTATCTTGACTCTAAGGCTTCCATTTTCACAAGTAACTCTGTGGGTTCTTGCACACTTGAGCGAGAAGTTAATACAGTGTAAAAATGTTTGGCAAATGAGATACATTTCTGCGAAGGTATCAAGTTATAGTCAGCGGCTAGTTTGTCTAAGAGGGGTGGATACACTAAGTATTCAGGACAGTCCACAACCCCATCTAGATGGAAGCTGTACTTGGCTCCAAATAAGGGGAATGTTAATTGAACAGTGCTTCCTTTTTCATTTTCTAAACGTTTAGCTGAGAATGAAGTGGCTGGGAATGTGACTGAATATACAGAATTGCCAAAAGTAATTTCTTTCACATCAGATTTCGAGCCGAAATTTTGTGCCTGATCATTCATTGCGGCGTTGGCTCTGCGCACAAGTTCATAAGCGTTTGGAATTGATGCAATGAAGTAGCCGTTTTCTTGCAAGAGGGAACTGATATTCGATAAAATCCTACGTGCCTGTAGAGTATGAAGAGAAACAAAACTTTAAAGTAATTGTTTGGATAAATTAAACAATTGCTGGATAAAATACGATTTGTAAACATACTTATACCCACTACATTCTGAAGCTCCTATTTCCTTAAAGTTTAAATAGTAGTTCATTATACACAGTAGGAGCTGGTTTGTTACGAGACATCAAATACAGTTATTTGTTACTTATATGGACATTTACTTAGTACAATATGTATGCTGAGGTGTGCTGCATAGAAACAATAAAACAATACATATATAGAAGAAATAGAATGAAGAAGGAATAGGCATGCATCCTTTTCAAGAGAATTCACGGAGCGTCCATCACTTCATGATACTTTCAGAAAGAAAGGAAGGGAGGAAACTGAAGCACACTTTTCATTGATCATGATTCTTAGTTGCATATGGAAACGTCTGGTACAGGTACTTATGACAGATATTCCTCAGCTGTGTACAAGTTAGGTGTTGATGCATACCATCTAGAGCCTTTTTTGAAATAGGGTCTATCAATTTAGTTATTATGAAGCGCAACCAATAAACCATCTTCTTTAGGAGACTGCTCATCTTAGCGAAGTTGTTTAATTTCTAACAGAAGTCAAATCTCTACAGCCTACATGGGGCGGTATGACTTTGATTTAGTTGTTTTTTGAGCTGGTTGGTTTAATTACAATTAAATCAAATCTCCATTATCTTGGTATGGCTTTGCAGAACACTTGTTCGGATTCAAATTACCTATTTAATAGGTGGATCTGACGATCAACTGAGGATAGTAGGTGTGAGTCGAGGAGGTAGTCTGATCACAAATGATGTCGACCGGTCTATTAACTCGAACATGGAACAGCGGTTAAAGATGGAAGATTTATAAAGAAACCAGCAACTAATATTCCAAATAGGGAAGCTCATCAACTGTGATGAGGAATTAAAGATTAAATTATCTGACGTAAATGTCAGATTATAGGAATCAAGACTATAATCCACTTTGTAAGAAACAATTAGTCCGTTGATGATCGCACATAAATCGGTATGGTTAGGTTAGGAAAGCATCACCAGACAACTGTGTGAAGATTTAGTCAGATACAGTCAACTATTATAAATCTTGATAACACCAAACTGGAAAGATGATGAGAAAGAGTAAACAAACAACTCTGACTAGCAAAAGAGAGTTAGTCCAATCTTACTCTGAATAGCTAAACAATGCTGACCGCCACTACTATTTCTCAATTATGCTTTGGATAACTGAGAGCTTCAGCTTCTGTAAATTGTTCATTAAGAAGCTGCGGGACTGGAAGATATTCAATGCATGAAAAATCAATGAACCATGGAAGTTATGCGTTAATACAAATGCAATTTTGCGGAGCAGTGAAAACAAAGCGTTAACGTGTACCAATTTTAAAATAAATGGATAAAGATCAAGTAAACAAGAGGTATCCGACAAGCTTCTGTATGCAAAGATCCCGCTATAACAATACAGATTATGTAGATCCACTTTGATTTTAGCAGGGTATTTTGCGTCTTATAAGCAACTTCAAAAATGTATTTTGTTGCGATAAAATGGTAGGCACCAAAAAATGTTGAAATACGGAATTTGTTAAAGAACCTGACTAAGTTTCAACGTAGAACCTTTGTCTGTCTTAGATGGCCAATTGATAACTGTGTCAGATTGGACATGAAATTATGCGTAAGTACGAATGCAACAACAGTGAACAGCAAGAGCAGTGCGTAAACATGTGGTAATTGTGTAGAAGTATTGCAGAGAGAGAGAGAGAAATTCACTGGAAATTACGCGTCCTCCATTGCAAAGATTCCCAATCAGCGTATGCTATGACACATTATTTAAAACCCTTACTCTGTAACCTGTTAACAGACTCTGCTTGTTTCACATGAACATATGTAGATTACCGACTAAATATTCGCAGTACAAATACGTATGAGAAAGGAATAGTACTAAGAGGCACGTTACATACGATATATATTCAGCGACCGGTACGTATCTATTTGCAGAAATTTTTCAGCCGTCCATCCAATGACATTTTTATGCTTTGATCTCAAACAGGGTTCTATTACCCTTTGTTGCAAGTCTCACACAATTTCAAGCGTGACTTTCATGAACGTCATCACTTGATTTTGAATCCATCCCCAATGCAATTCCAGAATGCCATCTGTTCCTATAGATGTAGACATATAGGACTTAGTACTATAATCCCTTCGTATAATTTTCCATCTTTATTAAATCCCATTATATTTTAGTGAACAGACTAATCCTGATAACACTGCATTTATTTAACTAGAAATTATTTCTTGAGGATTTCAGATTATTGGACACTAGGAAAACAAATTACGTCTAGTCGGTGCTGTAGATGTAAGGCAAATTGAATTCTATAAAAAGATGGCATCTCTGAAATTTAGGGGATCATATTTTGCAGACGTTCATTTATTACAAGAGTAACAATAAGACTCAGTATTGTGATAGTTTAATGGAAATACCCAAAGAAATTACCTGATTTACGCTTTCAAATGCATAGTGAAGTGCGAACTGACAGCTGACCAAGTTATACATCATACCAGATGGGAGTATTTGAGGCAGGATAACTTCTGTGCAGTCGGCAACGAAAAAGTCTGCAGTGAAAACAGACCATTTATTTCTACACATTTGTTCATACCGTTGACGACAAACTTCTACAGATTCACTGGATATATCCACAAAAGTTACATGCTGAACGGCACCGCGTAACCACTTCAACTGGTCACCTCCTTTGCCGCAGCATAAATCCAATACTCGGGCACATTTATATGGGACATTCAACTTCTCCAAGCTGTTTGCGATGAAGATGCCTTTCGTCCAATTGTTGAAATTTCTAAGGTAAAATATGCTTGCTTGTCTTCTACGTAATAGCGAATTACTTCCGCCATTACGTGCAGCCTCATCGTAAAACCTGACAACATCCTTGCTATTTGAATTTTCGGTCATTTGAGATGACCTGCAATGCAAGGTCCTTTTCACCGTCCAATGTCCAATATCTTTTTGCGAGATAGTACAAACTAGTTTGACTTCTTTATACTCACTTCTTGATTGTGAGGTAGAGTTTCCTGGTCTTCGGTAAACTTCTGCGTAGTTCGCCAGTCAGACGCAAACACAAGTTTTGGAACCTGTTTGCCACACTTGAAACTCCTGAGACCAGGAGATTATATAACAGTGCTAGGAATAAAGCTATTGCAGAAATCCGCCAATCAACGGTACATTTGTAAGCGCATCTGGCTAAAAATGCATACCATGAGAAAATTTTCTTGTACATGAACTTCAGGAATAAAACATCTAATGGTGTCATAAACCTGACTATTGAAAATGATCCTTCGATTAAATTCACAATGGAGTTAGAAAGCGATTCAAAGATTCCATTTCTGGACGTGGAATTGACAAGAAGAGATGATGGAACCTTGAAGAGGTCCATCCACAGAAAACCGACATGGAATGGCCAACTAGCGCATTTCTATAGTTGGATACCTCTGAGCCGAAAACGAGCCCTCATCAGCGCACTGACCCATCGCGTTAGAAAAATCTGCAGCAACGATTGCATGGAAGAGGAGCTCCTATTCCTCAAAAATATCCTGGCTCAAAATGGCTACCCGACATGTTTTGTCGAAAAGAACATGAAACCTAAACCTATAAAAGAGAAGAATGCGATTCAGCGCCAAAAAAACCCTGTATCTAAATCTGAATTTAAAGGGAGATTCGGCAGCTGATATCCCGAAGAGGAGACTATCCAGCTCTTTAGAGAAGACCTTCCCTGCAGCAACACTAAGAGTGACATTCTCTAGCCGCCCAATACTTCGAAACAACACGAAGGACAAACTTTCGCATGTGACCAATTCAATGTGCATATACCAGTTCACTTGCTCGTGTGGAGCTAGGTACATAGGTCGTTGTATGCGCGTCCTCTCAAAACGTGTTAGAGAACACTACCCAGCGTGGCTGTAAAGAGGAGGCACCGGTTAAATCAGAAGTACCATTATTGAACATCTGGTCAACACCTCCCACAAAATCTCAACCGATTCTTTCAAAGTGATTTAATCAGTCAACAGAAACCTACCAAGAGCAATATGTTTCCGACTTCTTTGTACTGCAGAAGCTCTCGCAATATGCATTGAGAAGCCGGAGCTGTGTGTTCATAAGAAGTTAGTCCAACCTCTACAACTACCATGGACCTAGCTTGGTATGTTCCCTTTGTTTCCGTCTTTTTTTCTCTTCCTCGTCTGTTTTTCGTTCTCGTTTTTTCCTTCAGAGCATTTTTCGTTCTCTGTGTGACTGATTCTTAGTCCCTCAATCTTCGTTTAATCCACCTAATTTTTTTCAGCTATAAAAACAGTTATTTTAAGTTTGTTTCCATGCTTCTCCCTGTTCACATTTATAATTCGTTTGAAATAACTATTTTACAATTATATCTTAATATTGTGCAATTTTTGTGTTCCTAAGGCTTTTGTAATCTATATTCACACGTCCTAACTTTTATTTCAGGCTCAAATTAGTTTTTCAGTTATAAAACTGGTTATTTTAATTTTGTTTCCATGCTCCTCCTGATCACACTTGTAATCCGTTTAGAATAACCATTTTACAATTATATTCTAATCCTGTGTAATTTTTTGTTTCTATGCCTCTTGTAGTCTATATTCATAACTCCTAACTAATATGTCAAGTTGAAAATTTTGATTTCAATTTGTTTCCATGCTCATTTTGTTCACACCTGTAGTTCATCCTATCCCTGCGTTTCTAAGCCTCTTGTGATTCATATGAAGTCGAAAATAATTATCACCTTCGATTCGCCTTTAAAATTGTTTCTCCAGTTATCAAATAATAATTTTTTGCATACGTTGTAACTATTTTCTAATCCTATGAAATCTTGTCTCTAAGCCTCTTGTAATCTATATTCGTACCTTCAAACTATCATATCAAGTTGAAAATTATTATCACCTTTGTTACTATGTGAAATTAAACAAATAATAATTCTATCCATGTTAAAATAATCTATATAAATGCGATTGTACAGCTTTTGAGAATGAAATCGCCGAAAAGATATCTTTGCTGTACTTCGTGTTCTCTTCTTTCTAATATTGAAATTGACCCAATCGAAGAAGATCAAGGAAAAGCAGAGGCAATCGCAGCCTACTTCTCCCAAGTCTTGACGCAGAATTCATCACTCCCTATAGGATCAGCTCTGACTGCATCAGAGGAATACGAGATAGATTCCGTTGTCATCGACCGAGGCATCGTGCTCAACTGCCTAATGAAACTAGATGCAAGGAAATCAATGGGTCCTAATAATCTTCATGCAAGGCTCCTCAAGGAGCTATCAGCTCACATAGCCAGGCCTTTGACCACTATCTTCAAGATATGTCACCTGAAGTGAGTATAACCGCGTGACTAGAAAGACGCCATAGTAGCCCCCATCCACAAAGGAGGACCAAGACAAAGCCCTTCAAACCGCAGCCAACTAGTCTCACCAACACTTTAATCAAAACACTGCAAAGAATCATCAAGAAAAGCATCATGGCATATTTGGAAAACAGCAGTTTGTTATCTAGAGCACAGCATGGCTTCCGAAGGAACCTCTCATGCCCGTCAAATCTCCTTACTGCAAGAGAAAGCTGGGTTAAATCAAGGGACAACAGAGGACCCGTTGACGTCCTCTTTACAGAATTCAGCAAAGCCTTTGATAAACTTCCTCCCAAAAGACTACTCATGAAGCTGGAAAGTCTTGGTATCAAAGGCAGATTACTTAACTGGCTCAAGGAATTCCTTTTAGATAGGATGCAGAGGGTTAGGATCAACTCAAAACTCCTCTCCCAAACATCCTACGACAAATAGGAGAGCGCAAAGAAAACTATAAACGAAAGTTTCGAAGTCGTGTGATTATAACTGATATGGTTATGAACAATAAATTTTGTCCGAAACCTTATCCAGGTTATACACATATATTGATACGAAACTCTCCTCTTGAATTGTAGTGCGTAGCGGAGTGCCACGAGGCACGGTACTCGGACGTCTCCCATTTATTTTGTATATCAGTGAGTTACCCCTGCTCACCGACTCCCCTATGTTCCTATATGCAAATGACTTAAAAATTTGGAGAGAGATGAAGGGCAACAGTGACACGCTCGCGTTGCAAGAGAACCTCAACAAAATGTCAGAGTGCTCCAGAAAATGGATGCTCCCGATCAATGTAGCAAAATGTGCAACCATGCGCATCGTAAAATTAACATCAGCTCCTGCGAACTAGAGGTAATAAAACCTCCATCAGTTCAGACTCACTTGGACTTAGGTGTCATAGTAAGCTAAGATTTAAAAAATACGTCACACAGTCGCGCGGTTGCTGCGCGTGGTTTCATATCCCTTTGGGCGATTCTCAGATCCTTTACTAGAAGCACCAGTGATATGTTCACCTCGTTATATACATCTCTGATAAGGTCAAGACTAAAAAACTGTATCCAAGCAGCCAGTCCTTGTATTAAAGGAGACTCACACATTCTAGAATGGGTTAAACGAAGACAAAACATGTGGTTCTCGGCATGACTAAATTATAATACGAGGAAAGCCTAGACAGTTAAAATCTCGTCGTTCCTGTTAAATTGTGGGCAGAGAGGAGATTTAATCACAATGCTTAAAATTTCAAATGAAGAATGCGGACCTGGCCGACTCTCTCTTTTCCTTTCCACCAGGCCGGAAAACCTTAGGTGATATAGCAGGAGAGTTCAAAAGCCAGGAAGAAATCATATTGATGTTAAGTACTGGTTCTAACACCGAGAAATTAAATCTTGGAAGCGACTTCGAGAAGAAGTGGGGTCTGTAAATTCAACAGATTCATTCAAGAAGGGTTTGGACAATCACAGAAATTTACTAGAAAAGGAATAACAATAATATATTTATTCCAAGTCTCCTGTCCTCAACCAATAAATTTGAAATCTTGTCTGTCGTAGCTTTGGCTGACTCCAAGAGGAGTATTGATGGGATTAACTATATGTTGTTTGTAGTATGCGGTGTGTCAAGATTGTTAATACTGTCAATCGAGTTAATCATTTCACCAGTTAGTACTCGGGTATCGTCGTCAAAAGAAAAGAGATAATAATAATTGCGAATTGCTCTAATTAAGTCATCGAAGTATTTCTTGAGAATTCAGTCGAGCTCCCTCTAAAAAAATACAACGATTTTATTATCTAGAATATTAACAAGAGGAATTAAACGAAATAACAGCTGTGTTGCATCATATGCATAGGGATTGCATTATCAAATGCCTCAATATGTAAGTTTCGAAGAGCCTGTTTTCGGCTTCTGGTAGTTTTCCTACCTTTTTATAATATTTTTACAGCCCTAAATTAAGTGAAAAATAAAGAGATGAGATTGCGTGCTGTGTGAAGATTTCTTATATTGCATCCCACAACACAAGTAAAAATACATTTAATGATCGTGTATGTTACATCCACTAAAAAATTAGATATGTACTTTTTTGATGTTCTATTTTTCACATTATTTTGCTGTACAACAGATGCATACCATTATCCATAACTTATTTTTGGTGCATTTTCCTAAACAAGGTTCTCCGAATTGTTGTTTTCTTTTCCAGATGTGACAGGTACTGGACAGGAAGTAAACGAAACACACCATCCAATGGACAAGCATAAACGAAGCGATGTATAGGCACCCTATAAGCATAGATAGACGACCAGTGGCAGCACACCAGGCTGATTGGAAGAGTTTTGCCGATTGTAACACCACTGGGTTTTTACTTCCGGCTTGTTTCGTCTCGGGGCCCTCCAAATCCCACCAGGGGGTAGTGAGCTGTAATGGTAGGAAAATTGTAGAAAGTGTATTCCCTAACTAATACGCAAATTATGAATTCGACTTGTGGTATCATTAGTTTGCTCAAGTAGTCAGGCAGAAATTCGACAGTCCCCAATGATTAAGCTTTCTGATCTGAG